TGAGCTCGGAAGAATTTTTCAATACTTCAATTTTTTTGCGGAAATCAAGTAGTCTTATAATGATAGGACGTGAACGATCGTCGTGTTTTCGACCTACTCGTTGGCACTTTTCAATACAAGGCAGTTATTATTCAGTTTATCCGAGAATATTTCTGATATGTTAGAAATTAATGACTCACTAGTTTCGTCTGCCCTTTCCGTGACGCCATGTGAGATTAGATTGTTTCTGCGTGAGCGGGTTTCCAAGTCGTCATTCCTCGAGACGAGTGTGTCTACCAGGCCAGACAATGACTTAAGTTCTATAAGCAGATTGTCACAAGATGTACAAGGGTGAATTGGCGTGGCGGAAGACGACTCAAAGGCAGCCACTCGTGCTTCAAGAGCGTCAAAGCTGGACTTAACTGACTGATGGAATAATTTGATTACAGTTATGCCCCGAGCCATCCTTTTCTGGCCAGCCAGCAATTCAGCAAACATATCCGAAACTGTGGGTTGTCTCTCGATATCTCCTCCGCCATTATCGCTCTCCCCCGAATCAGCAGCCCTCAAGTTTTCTGAAACCGAGCTGTTACTGGAACAGGACTTAGAAACTATGTTATCTTTTTTTTTTTTTTTTTGCTGTTTTTTTTGGGTGGTCCTGGATTCGTTTCAACGTCTCCGCTCAGGAGAAGGCCATTAATGCAATACACCAGCTGAGAGCATCGGTCAACAAAACAACAAATACCGTGATCGTAACCACGTGGGTGAGGAAATAGCAGTAAAAAGCGATCATCAGACCGTACACAATAAGCGTTCTGAAGGTAACATACCTACAAAAGAAGCAGACAGCGGTTGAGCATACTGCCTTCGCTGATATTGCCTCGCCTACTAAAGAGGAACTATGTCGGTGAAGCCCTTCTATCCTTTTTAACCGACGTCACAGAACAGGGCTTTTCGATGATTGGACCATCCAGGAAGACATAATCCAAGGGGATGACTTGCGGATTCGCGGTTTGTAGGCCGGTAAGGAAACCGTGAACACCCTCAATTCCGCTGGCAAGAAAGTCCGTGCACGAACAAGCCGGGTCGACCACGCAACAAGGGACAGTTGACAAAGCAGGAAGGGCAGGCAGTAGCTGGTAACCGTGCAGCGTGGTAGCATTGAACATAGGAACAGCGAGGGACCCGAAAACTGCGAAAGAAGCAGACAGCGGTTGAGCATACTCTCCTCGCTGCTATTGCCTCGCCTACAGCTGGGGCTGTGCTCTTTCTAAGTCAAATGTTGATCATGCTACCGAGACGCTTACCACAGCCGTAAAAAGTGCTATTGAGAAAGCTATGCCAAAAATCTACAACAAGCCGTCGATATTCCCTAATTGGTTATTTAAAGGACTCAGGCTTAACCTAAGGAAAAAAGATAATTTTCACTGACTTTATAAAAAAAGTCTGGTTTTGATCTTTGGCACACCAAATTTAGCCTATATCGTTCCTTAGTAAAAAAACTGTTCGCGCGTGATAAACGTCTACATCGTGACATCATAGAAAACCGTTTAAATCGACGACCGAAAATATTTTGGAAGTTTGTGAAACAGCATACACGTGAGGCGCGTCGCACTATCTTCCTGCGTTATGGGTCAGATAATGCTCCGCTGAAATCGCAAATAAGTTGGCAGATTTTTTTTAGAAATTGTTTTCTGTCGGTAAATAATTTTTTCAGCCTGGTGACGATTTCACATACTGCCATGACCTTTTGTCTTCTGTGCGTGTTGACTCAGCTGAAATCGCCGAAGCGATTAGAAAACTGAAACCGATGCTTTCTATTGGCGCTGATGGGATACCAAGTTTTATTATCAAAGGATGCAGTGAATTGTTCGTTCCGATTCTAAAGCATAGCTTCAACCTTTCTCTTAGTTCGAGAACATTTCCGTCTCTTTGGAAAAGATCGGTGGTCGTTCTTCTAAAAAAGCGGCCATCCGTTCCTTGTTACAAATTATCGCCCAATTTCCTTGCTTTGTGGCTTTTCGAAAGTGTTCGAGCTTGTCATCCGTACGAGAATGTTTTTTTATTTCCGACAGAAAATAAACTTGCTGCAGCATGGTTTTTTGAGTAGTAGGTCAGTCGAGACTAATTTGTGTACCTTTTTAAACTTTTCTGCGCCAGTTGTGGCTAATAGAAGACAAGTCGACTCAATTTATTTTGATACGTGTAAAGCGTTCGACAAAGTGAGCCATAAATTACTCTTGCGTAAACTGTCCTCATATGGTGTGCGTCTTGAATTATGCGAATGGTTTGACAGCTTTCTGTCATTGCGCTCAGACATTGTTCGGGTTGGTGACTGTTTCTCTGAAAATTGTTTTTCGACGTCCGGTGTTCTCTAGGGATCAATACTGGGCCCTCTTTCGTTCTAGATATTCATAAATGATATAGTGTACTGCGTGAACAGTTCTGAACCACAACTTTTTGATGATGGCCTTAAGTTGTTTAAAAGCATTAATAGTCTTAAAGATTGCGATGTCTTACAAGGTGATGTCACCAGCGTTTTTCAGGGGTGTAACTATATTGAATTGCTGCTTAACCCCCCAAAACAAAAGCGATTTATTTTTGCCGTCGGCGCACTTTTTTGAGTCTACTTATTATCTCGACGGATCGCCAATACAGCCTGTGTCAATCTTAAAGGACCTTGGTATGTGTATTGACAGCGCTTTATCTTTGATAAATCATATGTCGCTGGTCGTGGGCAATGCTTTTAGAGTGTTAGGGGTAAATTCTCGTTTGACGCGTAATTTTAGACACCCTCATTCGTTGATTCACCTTTTTAATTTTTTAGTGAGGTCAGGACCTTGGTGTTTGTATTGACAGCGCTTTATCTTTGATAAATCATATGTCGCTGGTCGTGGGCAATGCTTTTAGAGTGTTAGGGGTAAATTCTCGTTTGACGCATAATTTTAGACACCCTCATTCGTTGATTCACCTTTTTAATTCTTTAGTGAGGTCACGACTCGAGTTTACTTCTGTCGTATGGAACTCGATATCTAAGACACAGGCTATGAGCATAGAAAATGTACAGAAAAGAGTTGTCCTGATTGTTTATGAGAGATACTTTGAGCGGCGCTTTTATTATGCGTATGAATATATAGTGAAAATGTTTTCACTTTCACTACTGTCTAAAAGAAGGACTGTTCGAGATTTAATTTTTCTGCACAAGGTTTCAAATGGCGTAGTTGATTCGGCGCAACTCCTTGCGACAGTGAACTTCCATATTCCATGACGTGCACCCAGAACCCTTGCTTGTTTTGATGTCCGCTCGCCATGTAATACCTCACCTCTCTCTCGGATTCAGTCATTCTATAATACCTTTGCTCGACCCCACCTTGACATAAGTGCACCACTTTCTATGTACCGTCACGATTTTACCAATATGTTTGTGTTAGATGTTTTATCTTTTTTAAAAAGTAAGGGTGTTTAGAGCTTATTTATTTGCTTGCTGATTTTCTTTGTTTGTGTTGGTGCACTAATGAGAAGACCAATGTTGTTGTTTTTAAACAAAAAAAATATTATTAGTATTATGGCAATTCAGAGACAACCAACAATTGTGGTTTCTGCAGCCAATTTTCGTCATACCTCTGAAGCCTCATTGAGACAAAGACAAGCTTTATTTATTCGGTTCAAATCCGGATAATTAATATAACAACAAAAGAAAAACTTCATCTAAGTTTTTTTTTTGTAAATAAGTTACTGTTCTGAAGGCTCCAGTAACTCAACATTGCACAGTTTTTTGTTTCTGTTTTGTGGAGTTCGCGTCAGCTTATAATACACGTCTTGAAGCAAAAATTATGCGAAAAAAAGTGGCCGAGTCTTGAAACGACAAAAACAAGAGCACATAACCCCACTAAACACGAGCAACTGATTTATTTTATACAACTAGTTATACATTTTTATGGCTACAGATGTTTGTCTCTGTTGCTGGAGATGACATGCCTTGCCAGGTGATTTCATCCGGTTAATTTTTTTTTTTCTTTTCTGCTTACACTACAACGTTTTTGGGTATAAATGTCTTGCTTACTGACACGAATATGCAACTCATTCAATTCCCAAGACACCCCATGGCGCGGTAGCACGTGAAAGCCTCTCTTGAAAAGCAAATGCGGTGGTTGCTGGATTCAGGGAAGAGAACTTTGAAGTGTTCTCATTATCTATGGTATCAATATCATAAATAATTAAGATTCCCCGTTAAAGGTTCAGGGGACGAAGCATACGAAAATGACATCTTGAGAAAGATGCATCGGCGTGTGAAGAACCTAACTTTTAGTTGCATAAGTATTTTAAATCATTCCTGATCTTGATAAACTCTCATGCCTCTCTAAGGCAATGCAGTGCATTTCGTGGGTGCACTAAACACAGTAGAACAACACCCGAACGTACAATAAAAATAGTTCACTTTTATGCAGAACACGGAGACAACCAATCACGACAGGGATTAGTGATCCCAGTAAATGGCGAAGCTAAAATACAAATCGATCTGAGAAGCGCTGAGCGCGCAGGGGCAATCGGAAAAAGTGCAACGTACATTCCCATTGTTCTTAGGCAATTTGTTTGTTTTTCTAATGGCCGCTTGACCGTCCTTTGGTTGGATGCTTCTATTGTTCGCCATGAATAGCTGTTTCACCGTTCTGCAAAAACGTGAACTCACCATTTTTTTTTCTTAATAGGTAATTGTGGAAAATGGAGTTTCTCAAAATTTTATTTTGATCGGCTGAAGGGGAAACAGAAAATATGGCACCTAAAGTGCACGAAGCTTCGCGACGATACTCCTACAGAAAAGGAGCACAGCCCGTGGTGGACTGGAGGGCCGCATTGCATGCAAAGTTCACGAACGGTGGTACTGCGTTCGAGTTTGAGTGGCCGCAAGAGACGTACATAAATAGCGCGCTAATTAATGCACGATGACACTCAGTGCGTGTTGTTCGAATGTAGTCCTTGTCCCGCTTGTCCTAAACTAATGCGGCATTTCGTTCCGACAGGGTTATTTCCAGACGCTCGCCTTGGAGGGAAGCCTTTCGGTGTACGGCCCTGACGTGACCATTGCCTGCCCAGGTCCGGTCGAAACTCGCATGTGGGCAGCTACCCCAAAAAAGGTGAGGGGTCCGATTTTTCAGACGTGACTTGCTCTGCTCCGCGAAATTTGCTCAAAGGCGTTGTAGTAAAATGTTAAAACCTCTGATAAAAACACTGAAAAGCATTAGTTAAAACCGTTTGAGATCAGTCTATTGGAAAAGTATACTATACTTCATTTCACCATAAATCAGCGCCGGAGGTCACCGACATACAAGCCCAGATACTAATAATAAGGTATCAAGGTCATGGCGTGTTCATTGCTCTTGATTGACTGAGAGTATGACAGCATACACACATATAGGTAACGTAACGTTCACAGATATTCAAACGGTACGTTAAGCTTTTCGCATCCCTGATTTGAGCGAGTAGGGTAGACCTTGCTTTTAGTTAAAATGAGACAAAATTTAGAAAGCGTCTTGTAAGTAAACTTTTGTGGAAAGATTTGGCACATTAAGACACTGAAGATTCATTCGGGGACTAGACCACCGTGTTAATACACCTTAGTCCTTCAAAACAAACTTAACACACACTCGAAAACAAAAGCTGTAACGAGAGACAATTGAGAGGCAGGTTATCTGAGAAAATGAATAATTATACTACAAATAACTTACCGGGGCGGGTTAGTTGAATTAGTTTCGAGAATCGGAAACAATCCCGAGGGATTGAGGACGGGCATATATCCCGAACGCTTTCGATTGGGGCATCCTCTTCTCCCCCTTTTTCTCTCGCTATATTTTGGTACCGTAAAATCCTGCAAATTGCAAATACTCTTGGCAGACTTAAAATAAATAGAAGTAATCCAACGAACGTATACCGGCAGATTTTTCGACAATAGGTCTAACCTTTCCTAAGTAAACTACGCACAGCACAGTAAAACACGATAGGTGCTCTATCAATTACTGCAGAGAGGCCAGTAAATTAAGGTGCATTTCTTTATGCGAACAAATGTCTTAACTAGTTGTCCATATTTATATTTTTATTAGTGAAAATACACGTATGCTTTCTATTATGAAACTTTTAAACCGTAAATTATAAAACAACTTGGATCGCTTGGGAAGCGAGGTGGGGTTTTAAAAGTGGCCGCATGAAGTACGGGCGCAAGGCAGGCGTAAGGAAAATGAGAATGTTAAGAAACGTAAAAGCCACATCAGCGCGTCGAATTTATATGCAATTTTGGGACCCAGATTAACAGAGCATCAACTGAATGTTTTCCGAATTCTGACTGAGATTGTGGTTCTGAATATGTCCAGCGAGGTTCAACTTGGAACTAGAGGTTTGTTTAGAGCAATGAAAACGTTAGGAACTCCAAACGAATTAAAAGGTGGTTGCCCTGACTTAAATGCGCCCTTGAAAGTGACTGACATGACACAAATCTTAATAATATGCGATAATGAAGGACAAGACAAATACGTATGATCACCACCTGAACTTCCTCTTCTTCTATCAACGCGATTTTTTATTGTTTAATTTAATCAACTAAATGTACCATTTACCCCCGTTTCCCCCCTTCCCCCCCCCCCCCCCCCGCCCCCCCCCCCCCCCCCCCGCCCCCCCCCCCCCCCTCAAAAAACAAAACAAAACAAAACAAGTTGCTCGTCTTTGGTTGGATGGTAAGAGAAGATATTGGTATTTGGAATTCTATCGTGGACTCACGAACAGTTTCAGTGTTCTGGGAACGGCTGGGGGAATCACACGGTCTAATTTGTAGTTTCCGTCAGATTTTTGCGAATACTTTGGTACGGCCAAAATACCGCGAAATAAATTTGGGAAACGGCCGCAATAGCGACAGAGTTACCGGATTAAGACGAGGACTCCCAGTTTGTAAGTGATGTGACGGTGCCTGTCGTTGTGGCCGCTAATTTGTGCTTGTCGACATGTCCGTTTGTAATGAAGCGAAAATCTTAAGCCCGGCGAAAAAGACCGGCTATATTGTGATTAGATAGGCACAATGAAGGGTAGGATGGTGTCGAGGAGAGCGAGTGCTTTTCATTTCAAGAACCATATACAGAGTGTCCCCGAAAACAACAACAACAACAACAACATTAGTGTTTCTCTAATTGCCAAAAAAACAAAAAACAAAAAAAAACACATTACGCATCGTGGAATGCCAAGTTTCCGGCCATATGGAGAGCTGGCTGTCCGAAAAAAGGTATCAAAGTTTTAAAACAAACCTTTATCTTATTCAAAAGCTCTAATAAATGTTCATACACTTTTAATTGTAGAATGGTGTCTGACGGAGCCCACGAACGCATGGGGCTAAAAGGCGCCAAATACCAAGAACTTTCCACACTCTCCCATTGAAAATTTTCGAAAAGCACGTATAACTTTTGCATAAGGTTATAGTTAGTTTAGAAACTTCAATGGCTGATCGAGACCGCTAGTGTTATATTTAAGTGAAGACCGAGTTTTGGACGACGCCATTGTTGTGTGAAAAAATAAATAAATAAAAGATACTGTAAATTGTTTTTGGGGGAACGCTGTTGAATCGTTTGTATTGTGTAATCTCGTATGCAGCGGTGTTATAGACATACTTTAGCAAGGGAAGGGTTTCGTCCCATGGTTTGTTTATTCAGTGGAAAATGCGTTGCAAGCATCGTAGAAAGTTGACAGGTATATCGATAAGATGACAAGTTGGCCCAGTTGGTTACTAATCACTTGAAAACACACAAAAAAATCATGGATAATATAAAGAAAGATCTGAACTTCTTGTCCTGTCCGCTGCGTCTAGATTTTCTATCGGATTCTTTCCTTGTTTCTTGGCGTATTATCCAGTTAGATCGTTACGTCGACCATTAGTCTGAGGGTGCTATCCGAGGGTGTTGCGGCGGATAGTTCGGCAGTTTCGGAGAGAGTGTTGTAGTACACTTGACAAAAAAAACAAAAAAACTTGGTGTATTTCCTTGGTAATAGCTAGTGACTGCTGGTCACATATACTACTAGGTACCTACTAAGCGTAGGTAGTACCGTTCAAGCCAGAAATGGTTCTCAGGTCAAAAGTTTGAAACGTTTACTAACCCGCCTAGTATATTTCACTGCATTTAGCTAGTAAATGACACTTACTCTCAAAAGACCCAGGTGGCGCTTGTCAACATAAAATTCGGAATTGCAAAAAATGATTATCGCTGGGAGTATTTTTTTTCCACGCTGCTTACATGTGCATTTGCTCATGTAATATACATTTAACACAAACAAGGATTTATAACACGGATGGCAAACAGGCCCAACACACACGCGACGACATGCTAACCTAATCGGTTCCCCCAATGGCTGCCCATGCGACTTTTATACTAATGATTTGAGAGTCGTTGGTTGTTCATGACCACCTCGTCCGTGAACGATGTTACCAATATAGTGCTCGTTTTTCACGAATATTTTTCTTCACAATCGCTGCTAAACATTCCAAGGAATGTTTCTCTTACAAAGAAGTAACAGTAGACGCAGTAATTATCTGTAGCAGTCTATAAAACTGTGTTCCCGTTGGTCCCAAGCAGCTATGATCTCGGTTCCTGTATAGTGACTGCAGTTACTAATTGTCGCACGTTTGAGGTAGTAAAAGCTAATAAAAAAGTAGTAACGGGCAGAAAATGTAGTGCCTGCTGCACCTACTAGCCGTCACGCGTTTGGGGGAGTAAATAGTAAAAAGGGGGTGATGGTCAGGAAAAGGTGGTAACTGCTGGAGTTACTAGCTTTTTACTAGTATTGTTTTTTTCTCCGAGAATGCATACCTGACATAAATATGCTACTCCAGTCGCTTATACATTTTCGGAAGGATCTGTGACGTCAAAAAAATATTGTAGAAAAAAAAGTTGCGGCTATTTAATTTGCAATGCCGATGACCAGGAAATATATGGGGGGGGGGGGGGGTGGACGGATGTGGGGGCTGAAGCCCTACACGCCCCCTGATTACGTCACTTTTAACAACCTTTCTTATATCGGGAAAGTAGGTTGGTCGCAATTAAGCATTTGCCATGTTCGGACTCGGAAAATACCAATTGCTTCTAACACTCTTGAAGGGGTGACTAGGGGCTGTAATGGGTGAAGGTGGTAAACGGAAATGAGTGTTGAAATCTTTCCGCGCTTACAGAAATCTCATGATGTGTTGTGTAAGTCCATGTGTTGTCGAAGGTAGAAAGATTGCGCTTGAGGCAGGACAACTGAAGTTCTTTCCGGCGGTTATCACCTACTCAGTGAGTTTACGCGGGAGGGGGTATTCGAATGTCAACGTACAAATCCTTTACACTGGAGTAAGAGTAAAAAAAAAAAAAACACATTTGGAACAGGGACAAAGTGATACCATGCTTTGTATGACGCGTACCAAGCTACTCCTTGAATTGGTTGCCAAGCTTCATGCGAAGTAAGGATGTCTCGGCGATTCACGGTCGTAGTTCGACGTTCGGATGTCCTCATAACGTAGTTAAATGGTACTGTTTGAATGGACATTTATCTAAAATGTGTTGAGCAAGTGCGCTCGCAGATATGGTTGTTTGTCAGAGAGTGCATAGGAGGCGAGAGAGAAAGAGCGCGTGGTTCTGGGGAAATGGGGAAACGCAAATTACCTGGAGAGAAACAAGGTGTACGAGAAAAAAAACACACACACACACACACGCAAACGAACTTCGCGTTCCTCTCACACTGGAGCGCTGTTTTGCTTTTTTACCGGACACGGGATGTCGGATCCGTCGAGGAAAAAAATGTGCCTCAAGTTACACTGTGCGAAATCACCAAGTAGAAACACAAAGTTCATTTTGTGTTACTATGGCGTTTGCCACAAAAGTGAAGAAAACGGAGAAATATATTTTTAAACAATCTCAGAGATCTTGAAGTTTTAAGCTATAGCTAAGTTTCAGCATGTCCGTTACCGCTAATATCTGTCCAAGTTGTACTGATACCCTAACATAGGAAGTAAGGTCTCTGGTTTAATTCGTTGAATCGTAATGTTTTAGTTATTCTATTTGTTTGATCAAGATAAGCCTCTTTTGTGTTCTTTCTGGGACAAGACATTCCTCTTCGACAATGGCCTTTTCCATTTCAGTTTCAACTCGAAGCAATGTCCACTTCCCGCTGCGCCCAGCTGATAGCCATAGCGATGGCGAATAAAGTTGGCGAGACTTGGATAATTGCCAACCCGCTGCTCCTTCTTATGTACACTCCCCGTGTATTGAGAAGGTGAGTGTAGACCATTGTAATAAGTTTTCAAAGCATATTCTAATCGAAGCCAGATCAAACCTCTTGTGACTTGCGCATCGATGATCAACATTACCACCGGTGAATTAGGTTTTTTATTGTGTCGTGTTAGATCTTGTAATATCGGTCAAAAGCCAAGATTATTTCAGTGCAGCAGTTATAAGGCCTTGGGCGCTTAATAATGGAAGCTGTGCTAACCGAGGACGATCGCGTAAGAAAAAGGAAGGTATATGTACACTTGTCCTAAAATGGCCTTCTTCGCGCCGCTATCGTTGCCTGCTGGGCTGTAAAGGCCTTCTGAGCATGCGCTGTTGCTCCGCTCTGCAGTATATAAGACTCTGCGCATTCGCCCTCAGCTCAGTGGCTCAACATTTTTAGCCCGGGTGACAAGCGCTGGGAAGATTTATACTACATTTCAGCTTAAAGGGAAGCTGAAGAGGTTCTTAAATTGAAAAAAAAAAAAAAAAAAACAGTTTTGATGTAAGTACCTTAAAATGCTTGTATTTAAAGCTTTTTAACCATCGAATTCGTCGTAATCGCCAATTGAAGACCTGTGAGACCTCAAAGCAAGCTGCCTTAAGATCTACCCCCTATCCTTCAATCAGAGCCAATCAGAGCTCGGCATTCTGACGTCACCACAACTTCTGCAAAAGAAGCAGACGAACTTGCGCTCCGCATTAGTTTCTCCGATCGAGTGGTAGGAACAAAGGAAGCTGCTGCCTAGTAACCCATGCGTTTCCAATATTTGGCGTGACGTTCATGGCATTTGTAGTTAAAGTAAAGCGTTATACTTTGTTTCCCTTAAAGTTCGACCGCAGCTAACGGTAAAATCAGATGGAGTCAATCAAGCAGCTTGAAAAGTGCATTGTCGTGACGCTATCGTCGTTTTGTGTTCTCTATCACCGACTGAACTAATTACGCAAAGAACCAACCACGCACAGGAAATGCCGCGCGATCCTTCGCTTTTTATTTCTGCATAATTTGTATAGCGCGTGATAGAAAACCTACCAAGGCAACAAGCGTCGTGGCGACACACCTTTGCCGCTGCGTGATTGGCTCATTATGATCGTAGCTTCGTTTAGGATAATCTTTACAGTGAAACGTGCGATAAATAACGGCGAGTGAAGTGAGCAGTTGACACTACCCAACGGGCGCATCGAGACTATCGGTTTCTTACTATATATTACCTAAGCACGAGAGCTACGTGCCCGCCGGACCAATCGGCCGTCTCCCTCTCGTCGCCTGACCAGTGCTACGCGCATAGTAGGGATCGGAGCGTGATCACGTGGCTGAAGAGAGACATTTTACTGGTTCGACGAGGATGTAGTTTTCTGCGCAGTCGCAGCTTGGGGGTGAACGGTGCGTACAAAGTATGGGAATTATGAAAGAACTAACTAAGGAGAGTCGCATCACGTATTAATAGTCACTGACAGCCTAAGAAACGTATAGGGCGTGACTTATCTACCCTTCTTGCATCGTGATTGACCCTGGAGAGAAAAAAAAAAAAGATACTCGAGACTCGACACGGCTTGCGCTTCTTACTATGTCGTTGACTATAATAACAATAAACCCTTTCCGAAATTGTGAAATGGTGCATAGATTATGCGTTTCCGCCATCGGTTTGTCTCATCGCTTCCGGTGTGAAGCCAGTGACTAGTTCCGAATCCGTGCCGAGCACTAACGCAGCACTCGCATTGAATATGTTTACATCCGAGTACACTCCGAATGCTGACAAAGCGCTCGTGTCTAATGCTTGCTCACCGTGCATGACCAACTAATGGCGACCGCACATAATACATGCGACATTTTGAACTTTCAAAAGGGTCGTTTTTTTATATAGGTGAGGCGATACACTATATGGCAATGTAAAACGCGCAAGTTTTGAAGAAGACGGCACCAAAGTCATAAAATAAAAATAAAATAAAGAATGTTAACGAGAATTCAGTGGGAATTAGGAACCGATGAGAAGAGGCATGTCGCTCTGTTTGATTAAGTTACCATTTCGTAGCGTGCTATGGTACCGTAGCGCCCCACGACCAATTGCTGAGGCGCTGTGCTTATTTTACGCGTGTTTTCAGGTGGGCTTACAAACTTCTTCCAAGGAACAAGGCACGAAAGAACGAAGAATAGATAATTCGTGGCCGAAGAGAACCATGCTTAAATTCCGAAGCTCGACAAGATACGGCGTACCAGAAAATCAAGGCGACCAGTGCTGACAAATATAAAAATCGCGTGATGATGCATTTTTCCTTTTAAAATATTAACCAACTGAGCTATATGTTTAGAGGAGTGCTGCACGGCATATGTGCCATGGCGATCTTATCGCAAATCGGGCAAGCAAAAAAGGCCGGGTGTTTATTACTCTGTCAACAATATATCGTTTTGTGGCATGTGTTAAAATAAAATGGCCGGCGACCGTGGTATTGCCTAATTGTTTTCTTTTTCGAGTTAATGCGCGTCTTTTTCACATCTGGCGCAGGTCGTATAATTTAGTCGATATCTTCCCGTTATTTTTCTGTCTAGATTAATTTAACCTTTGCCAGGCACTTTGTAAGTATATTTAAGATGCTCTAAAGACGCAGAAAAATATAGGATTTTGTTTGCTTGTTTTTAAATAAAAATTTGTCATCCTCTGTAATTTTTTTAACGAGCTCTGATAAGCAATTACTCGTAAGCTGGTTTACGTTGAAAATTTCGATGTCCATGGATAGGCCGAAACATTTTTTAGAGCGCAGCTCTAAAAAATGTTTCGGCCTATCAGCAACGGCGTCGCCGTTGCTGATAGGCCACGTGACCACGTGCAGTATCAGTCGCCGTTGCTGATAGGCCACGTGCAGTATCAGCAACGGCGTCGCCGTCGGCGTCGCCGTTGGCGTAACCGCGAGGTCACGTGACCCCCCCGAGGTCACGTGACCCACCCAGGTCACGTGACACCCCTAGGTCACGTGACCCCCAGAAGTCATGTGACCCCCTGAGGTCACGTGGCCCCCTGAAGTCACGTGACCCCCTAAGGTCACGTGACCCCCTGAAGTCACGTGACCCCCTGAAGTCACGTGACCCACCCAGGTCACGTGACCCACTCAGGTCACGTGACACCCCTAGGTCACGTGACCCCCTAGGTCACGTGACCCACAAAGGTCACGTGAGCCCCTGAGGTCACGTGACCCCCTGAAGTCACGTGACCCCCTTGAGGTCACGGGACCTCAAGGAGTCACCTATCCCTCAGTACGCTTCTATATTCCTCCTCAAGAGCTGCGCTCTAACCGGCGTTACAGGGAATCGCAAACGGCTTTCATTTTTTTATAGGCATATTCAAGTTCCTTTTTTAGCTTAGTGACCTCTTACGGTCGATAAAAAGGAAGTGGAGCTCATGCCGAAGACCCCCGCGCGTCTCGTGTCTGGAACAAATCTCGTTTAGAGCAGTCTGACAAAAACCACCATAGTAGACCTCCTCTGACTGCGTTCAAGCCATAAATTCTTTGACAGGTTGGTGGAGGTGAAGCGACTCCCATCCCTGGCAATTGCCTGAGAATGGGAATCGCACTACTGAACTACTGGACAACCTCGATGTCTCACGAATATTGTACCGTGTCCCGCTTCATTAGCCTGACGAACCTGACCACAAAACACCGCCATCGGACCCTCATACATCCAGAGGATCTCCATATTCGAACGTGGACGACTGGCTCAAAACTTACGAACGCGTGACTCCGCATACCTGATAGTATGGTTCTTTAAAGCTTGCAAACGAGAAGAAGAAGAAGAAAAGGCACGGGATCACCTGCTTCAAAGCTATCAGTCGACGCCGCCCGAGTCATGAACCGCTTATATTAAAGACGTACAATGTCTATGCCGCCCAAAAGACCCCGAGACGAGTGCAAGCAAGGTCTAACATATTTCGAAAGACTGTCGCAAGAGCTATTCTTTATTACAGCCCCAGAATATTCCCCCACTGTGACCAACCACGCATATGAATGTTGAGCGACTCCCCGAGGTGTCGTTATTGAGCCACTCGCCGACATTAGCCTTTTAACCTTGATCCGCACCATCATCCCTAAGGAGCTGCGATCTTTCCTTGGTCGCCAGTATGAATCATTCCCGCTTCCACGGCCATCCCGTGGGCTCCACGACATCCAGTCCAACCTCCTACTTTAAATTGCAATATGGCTGTTGACACGCACTCCTGCCTACAGACCGGCAGCACTCCCGCCAACAGTGCTGCTAGCCTAACAACAATTCCCAGTTTTATATGGTACACTACGAAGGTAAACAACTCCACAACTTAAGCGCATCGCCGTACTGACATTTGGAGGACTGGCGACAACGGATATGGATGCTTTTTAAAACGTAAGGTGTACTGGGCTTGTACTGGGCGAGTGTCGTGTTACCGAAAACGAACGAACATGTACGCATTTATCGCAGGTGGCTTTGGCGCCGGTTGAGGGCGAGTACGGCAGTGATGTTCTCGCCCTTTCGCTGATAATAGTCGCCTTTGAACCATGGTGAAAGCGCTAAAACGAAGACTATAGAGACGACAAACTCGGGCGCTTGCGTTTGCCTTTTCAGCTCTTTCAACCATGGTTCAAAGCGTTCACCACCAACCTGCCCAGCAACAAGTAATTTGATAATAGTCGCGGATGAGGCGAGGCGCATTAGGCCAATCGCGACTTCTCTGGGAGGCGTGTGATTGCACTTCCGCCACCCGATCTTTCTTGCCTTCCGTCGCCCGTTCCCTCGGCACTCTGAGCCTCTCCGTTCAAGAAGAGGGTGGCTCTCGACGACGTAAACGCGCCCGCCAGAGAGGACGTCATCAATTCGTAGGAGCCGACGGTCTCACCCAGGGTGTTAGGATGGAACGCATTTGACGTCAAGATCAAGCTCTGAGTGAACGTGAAGCAACACGTAGAAGAGAACGTTGCCGAGTGAAGAATGAACATGATGGTGCGACCACGGACTTTGTGCAACGCGTTTGCGTGAACCTGTTTGATGATAGCTCCTCTGTTTGTGATCGGCTGTGGTTTACGCAAGACACCGCGCGACGCACAATCTCCGAAATTTCCAGTCAAACGCCGTATTATCATTAAAAATGTCTCACGAGTTGACGCTGTCCATTCTCATGTCCTCTCGTGATCGTTAGAGCAATTTATATTGCCATGCTCCAGGGCACATCCACCGTTATTGCCGACGTCGCAAGTACACGCACTACCTGCCGCGACATGCCAACTCGTGGAAACCAATGAAACAGCAACTCCGAAGACTGCCGTTCCTTAACGACCACCCTCCCGTTGAAAACTTAGATTTTTGCCGCTTCACAACGAAGTACACACAACCCGCCGATAACACAAATGCCGGATTTTTCATGACCGCTCGACCGGCCCATCGCGCGAGCATCATCCCACCATGGTCGCACATTGTCTACCTGGCCTGCCCGTCGCCGCTCGGTTTCCCCTTTATATGACACCCCTCTTCCATCCCAAAGCAATCAAAGTAAAAACCATAGCCTGCACCAGCAACGTAGGTGAGTATGCATGCGCTTAATTTGTCGAGAACTCTCTTCTCTCGAATGGACGCGTGTAACTCTGAAAATTGGACGACATAAGCTTATGCGCCGACTAACAGAGGGACAGGAGGAGACGAAAGTGCTCAGGGATGTCAGAACACCGTGCTCTCCCTGGAGTAATTAGTGGGTAGGCGTAAAGCAAGCTGCCCTTGTCTCTTCTCACTTTTCGAACGCGTTCGAGCACGAAGCCGGAACGGCGGAACTCTGGACGCCGGCGTTTGGCATTCGAACTCGTTCGAAGCGTGAATAGAGGAAAGGGCAGCCAGCTTTGCGTGTACCCACTATGCCTTCTAACCAGAGCTCGGCGTTCTGACGTCCCCGAGCAGTCTCGTCTCCTGCTGTCCCTCAGTCGGTCGTCGAATTTCTTGTCTATTGGGGAGGAGGACAGACCGTGACGCCCCAAGTGGTTAACTTATCAACTACACGGATGGGGACAACAAATAGAATGACGCAGCGTTCGGCCGACATAACCGAACGCGGCGTCAGCGTTCGGCTGGAGTTCGAATTCTCCGGCGAGGGGGAGGAGGGGCTCCTTTGTTTCCACAACGGCCTGCATGAACAATGCAGCATGCACGATCCCAGCTTAGCACAAAAGCCGAAGTGGGTCAAGCTCGCATTCTCTGAGGATAGATCCGGCACTTAACGTCGCTTCGTCGATTGTTAGTATTTTTTACATTAGACTGTGCCCCGCGCTCTATTGTAGAAGATGACATGGCCATGCCCATAAGGCCTGCTGGCATGTGCACAGGCCTTGTGTTGAGTAAACACCGAGCGTGGGGAAAACAAACGGGTCAGAGCGCCCCCTATAGTTGGATCTCCTGCCCAATAGGCGCCTACATCATATGCTTATGCCTCCCTCCGCTGAAGAATGATACGTATGGCCAACGGCGAATTCGTGCAGCGGGTAGGTGCACTGCGTCTTTACCGAGCGGTTGTTGCCGATATATTGCAATGTTCACTCTACACTCGGCACGCATTGCAGACATGGTTCATGGTTTACATTTTGTAATGAAACTTCACAAGAAATAGCAACAAGCGTGTCAACTTTAAAATCAATTCTATGATTTTTTCTTAATTTTTAGTTATACAGCAAGAAAAAAAAATGTATTTTTATGTCCTATTTTGATGCCTCAGTGTTGTTAAAAGCATGTTCGTTTTGTCAGATTTAAGTAAGACATGTCGACTTGTGCGCCTTTTTTATTTTCTGAATATTGATGCATCTCTATTTACGTTCCAAAGTAAAACATCAAAGAAGTACTTTGTCATGTTCGTTATTAATTTATACATTGGTTTAAGCGGAAACCGGAGCAGCACAGTGAAGCAGGTAAAGCAACACAATTGAACAAAAAGCGGGCCACGCAAACTTTCAATATCAGAAAATAGACATGAGCATACTTTTGTGCATTGAATACGGAAGGGTATACACAGCATCAGGTCACGACAAAAGATCGTGCGATGTAATTCGCAGCGTGCTCAAGCATCTGCGAATATGTCGTAATATTGATCGAATCGGGTATGTTATTTTTTGGCAGTGCACATGGTGAAGGCGTAAAGGCTGGCTCAAACAGCACCGCTCGTTACGTACGTTATGTTACAGCAGCTTACGTATGCTTATGTTGAGAGTCAAACGTCTGTGCTTCGTG